TTCTATGGGGGGGTGGGGGGCCCTTTCCCTCTACAGATGCAATCAATCAGATACAGCAAGATGATGAATAAACCCATTTCAGAATCCTTATCCGTGGATCACCAGGGGAAAAAAGGAATTTTGTGAGGCCTCTTCACGATATTATCAGAGGATCAGATTCATACGACCCCATAGGCAAAAATAATCTCTTGCTATCTCACTAGGCAGCAATGCTTGCTTCAGTACAACTGTACGAACTCAACACATGACCTAAAGATGACAAGTCCACCTCGCTCAGGAACATTGACAGCAAAGTCTCTGGTGCACCTATAAATTACATTTGAAGACCAAAAAACCCAAAATTCAGACAAGAAAACCAAAATTTTTCCCATAATTCCAGTCTCCACCAATCAGATTCCATCCTTCTGTACCTGAAACGAAGTTTGCGTTCATTCTTACCACTGAGAAGTCTTCGGCGCTGCATTCAACTCCTCTGAAGTAGCAGGACAGCAGCATTTCCTTAATGTCGTGGCCCACTCGATCGTAGAACTCGCGCATGTTGAAGGGGCGGGGCTTGAAGCTGGAGAAGTCCGCCTTATCCTTCAGGGTCATCATAACGCTCTCCTCCACCATGTGTGTATCCCGGATCTCATACCTGATAAGATAAGACGTTTTTGATCAGAAAAGCATGTTGAGTCTAGCACATTGAATGACAATCGCTTTAGGAAAAAGTACTATGGTAAAACCATCAATGACAATGGACATACTCCCATACTTTCCTGTATGCCCTCAACAGTCATGAAAAAAGGCAAAAAAAAAAAAAATGAAAAGGCTAAAATTGCTGACAGACTTTCTTAAAAGCTTCCAGAACTGACAGAACGTGATGTGAATCTCAAATAATATGCAAGTTTTCACTTTAATGCAACATGTCTTAAAGATAACACCTATACAAAAAAAATCATTTTTATTTAAAAAGAAAAGTATTCAGTTGAAGTAGGCAGCAAATTGTGTTAAATAATTGAATATCATTGTGGGTTACTGGCCAAGTACTTCAGTGTGCTTGACAATGAATATGCATGCATCAATAATTTAAAAACTCCAAATATGAAGACATTTTGCAAGTGATTACATATACAAGACTCTATATGAATAGCCAAACAACATTTACTATAAACTCATTTTAAATCCTGATAATATTATAACATTCTTGAAATAAAATGGTATTGTTTTTAGTAACACACAGCATGCGTCACCTAAATCACCTGATAACTTTATAACATCGTAAGCAGAATGTTGCATAGTTTGAAGAGCACTACAAATATCATAAGCAGCAATTGTTCACCGATATGACACTTCACAGTAGAGGGCTGCATTGGGATTGGGAGTTGGCAGCTCGCGTATAATAAAAGCGCACGTATGAGACACGACTGTTAAAGTCATAAAGGCAAATGTACGAAACTGTACTGTAAAAAGGTAAATGTGCCAAATCCCAAAATCCAGTGCAACGACAAAAGAAATCTGAGTTATGTGCGAGTTTGTAGTCTCAACTGAATGTGATGAGATGCATCGACCGTGTAACGCGGAGTAATCGAAAGAAAAGGCTTTAAACTCAACAAACTTTGCGGGCTGCACAAACAAACATGTGCGAGCAGTATAGTTCACAAACAAATAAATATATGAACGTGTTCTTTTAATGCAGTGGTTACACACCTGATTCACATCATCAGCTCGCTAGGAGAGCTCCATGAACTGAGCTGCATGCTGATTGACATTCAATATATGTAAATATAGGTAATTTGGTTATATTAGATGTGTATTTATCATAGATTAGCACTTTAAATATTATGACCATTTATAATAATTAAATTAATACCTTCTTTATGTAAACGTAGGCTACTTGGATATACACGCATACTAAACGAAAATATAATTGATATTGTATTTATACTACATAACTTGTCATCATGCCTCAGACCTCTCTAAAATGCGCTACTAAAATTTCTTCTGAGTTTGATGAAGTTGCAGTGTCCCGAATGAATGCATGAGATCACCGAATGAGGAAATCATAATAATCCAGCAAAAGATTTTGAAAAACAACTAACAAAAGAATGTTGCGCATGCGCAGCCACAACAAAAAGAATGAATCACACTTTTATTCTTGTGTTTTAAAAATCTTAATGCTATAAAGGATGAGGAGGAAAAGGCTGTTTGCTACACCTCAGCCATGACGCAGCGTAATGAACCTCGCAATTAAGACAGCTCGTCAGGCTCCCTTATGCCGGGTTCAGACTACACAATATTTTTGTCGGTCACGATAGTCACTGTGTCAGATTACACGATTTTGACTCCTAAAATCTTGTCGTGTCGTGGACAAGAAACATGTCAGACTACACGTTGCTTCCCGACCATTCATCGCGTGCAGTCTTTAATGACGTGCGTGATGTCATCGAGAAGGCGGAACTAGCGACTGACTTCCGAAAACAAGAGTGTAAACATTGCTGAAGCGCTTCCGCTATAGTTCGCCAGCATTGTTCTTTCTTTGTTCTGTCATGGTAGTCCCTCGATGACACATCATACAGGCAGGGGT